GCAATTATCGTGAAGGTGACTTCACACAGGAAACCCATTTTTTTACAAACAATCCATGAGTTCCCATTGTTAATTGCAAAAAACCGCCTGGATGACTATGTCCCACGAATTATTATCTAATCTCACGATTTAAAAGAGTTTAATTTTGTCAATGTTACGTAACAGTCGTTTGGATGAACACATAATGGACACATGTGATTGAACACAGAAATTGTTTCCTAAACAATTAAGTTAATACGAATTCGGCTGGTGGAGAAAGAAAGTGTTATAAAATTTATTAGAGTCGGCGGAGAAATTTTTACAACGAAATTAGAGAAGTGTTCTTCCTTTTTCAATAAAAATGAAAAAAACATGGTTGTCACGCCGTTTTAAGAAGTAACAGGAAAGCCCAGAGGGAACGAAAGAGCAACTCAGATGATTACATGGGATACGCCCATATGATTAATTGGCACATAATGACAAAAAGAAAGTGGTTATTTGGTACAAAGAATCTGACCATTAAGGTGCCGTGAATAGCAGTAATCGTTTTTTGACTAGTTCGTGCTTGAATTAAAGATTGTATGCCAAGTTAATGCGAGTATTTCTTTTACATTATACTTCAACTTGGTTAACATAAATCCGAGTACGACTAAAAGAAAATAAAACGTTCCTTTGAATAATGTAATCCCTTCTCGTGGGATAATTAGCTGCTAAACTGATTAGTTATTTAAAAATGGAAAGTAGAGGTCAATGTCACTACTTTTTTTTTAATATAATAAAAAGGGAAAACAGTTTATTACACTGAAGATATAGATTTTTTCGATTTAATTATCACGCCTTTCTAATTCGTTGTGACAAATTGGAAAAACAATGAAGAACTATTATTTTTTCAATACATACAACTGGAAAACGCTTACTCATTTTCAATGAATGTAGCAAATTAGAAAACGAGTTTCAGTTCGCACTAACTGTGGTTTCAGCTCAATGAAAGAAAATTGAAAATCGTAATCAGCTTTTTATTTCTCAAGCACTTTCTCTTGTCTTATAAGTACGCGAAATTCCAGTTAAAATCTTCGCATTGTTGCGAACTGTTTTTGCAATATTTTATCGAATGAGAACGACGCTAAGCGGATCTGATTCCTATCAAAAATCAGAAATAACCAGTTTGAAAGCGTCTACGCAAATCACCTGTAATGTTATAATTATCAGCCTAAGGCACAGAGTGCCGCAGGTCTAGTTAAAATAAATGTTGGAAAATTATGTAATTGACTGGTTCAGAAGAAAATGATGTATGGAAGGAATGCAAATGTTACATAATAATTACTTTATCCAAGGACTATGTGATGTCCTTTCAACCATGATATTGAATTCACAATTCTTTTATTTTGAAAGTTATTAGAGGTATTCTAAGATAAGCAGGAACAAAAATTCCAAAAACATATTTTTGGAAAGATTACATTCGTCGTTAGCATTTTATCAACGTCTGGAATCTTCCTGTCCTATTTTAATATTCGATTATTTTACCAAGAGAGTTTTCAACATATTAAATAAAGTACTTAGTTTATCTCAAAAAACATATAGGTACACAATACATATACATATTTGGATAAAATTACAATTTTTCTTAAAGAATGTGATACATTTGTGACAATTTTCTGAAATAGGGACAATGTAAGATTAATAATGAAAAACTGAAAAAAAGAATTTTTTCTATATTTTTTAAATTTAGTAAAGGATTTTCAAAAACGTATCTACAAACTTAATGAACAAAACTGACTATGAAAACTGTACCTTTTCTATATTGGAGCAGAAATAGTTATTTCCTTTTACTATTAAACATTATGTTTAAATCTTTCGGCTTTGCTACTATCGGTTACTATTTTTGGAGGAATATAACTAAATTAGCTATAATCAATTTTCATTTCACTTTCTGTAAACAAATACCTAGCCTGATTTCACTAAATATTTAGTATTAACCTCAATATTAAGTATTTAATAATCTTATTCTAATAAATCTCTGGAAAGTTATTTTATCCTTTCTTTGAAGCGAATTAAATTTTTATTACGATTTGTTAATATCTCTAACATGCCATAAACGGATGTCGTGAAATATATCGTGCAAGAGAATATATTTATTTATTCATCGCAGCATTAATGCTTAACTACTGAAAGCGAGGCCTATTAATTATATTGTGACACAGCGGCAAGTTTGTTACACAGTGACCTGAAACCACTTAAGAAATAAATAATTTCTGATTAATGTTTATTTTAAACGTAATTAATGTTGATTTCCTGTATGCGGAACATTTCGTACAAAATATAACTGGAAAGGAAAATTTAGGTGAAATTTTTGTTTGCCTTGTCAAGCAAATACTGATTTTTCAATGAAAGTAAAGCAACGGCTTGGAGTGGCTACGTACAAAATTGATTTCATTAGCTTGAAAGAAAAACGATTTACCATGCTTCTAATAACCTTAAAACGTTTGAAAGATTTCATAGCATTCTGTTTTGTAATTTCAAAGTTAAAATGTTATATAATTTAATTTTTTTTCCCAAAAATCTGGATATCGAAGGTAAAAATCCAACACAGATACATAAATTGCTGTAACTGTAAAATTACGTCATTATTTTTTGGGGAGGCATAAACGAACATTTTTTTATTAACGACTTTCAAAGTTAAATTGCAAAATGTTATGCAATTTTGATTTTTTTTTCCAAAATCTGGATATTTAGGATAAAAACTCAACACGGATTCATAAAGCACAAGCATCTTATTTTGAAAAATTTAAATAAGATTTACTAATAGAAATTTTGGAGATGACAATCTCCAATTCTTGGTAGGGACAATTAGTCAAATTTTGGTTATCGTTTTACCATCTACCCCATGTTCTTAAAATTCACATAAAATTTGACACCAATGGGTGCAGTAGTTTTGGAGATTATCTTTGTAACAGCAGAAATTGACACAAACGACAGACGGCAGACAAACAAACAGACAGACAGACGGAGACTGGGGATCTATGTTTTCGTACTCTAGAGGTCATAAAATGTAGAGAAAGCATGAAAAAAGTACAGATAAAATTAAAATTTGTCTCAACATTCTGAATGACGTCATCACTTTTTTGAAGGAATCCATAGATAGAGAAGTTACGTTGGTATTTTACTATCCTCACACAATATTAAAAATAAAATACATACATAATTTTAAAGTAATCAGTGCAGCAGATTCTAAAATTGTATGTCTAATAAAATAAGAATGGATATATTAAAAAAGCTGCATTTTTGTATTCTACCTACAATAAATTCTCGAAAACTTTTTCATTGATGTTTTGCGAAATTTCTACCTTTTCAGTTTTGTCAAATAAAAACAAAAATTATCCCGCCATTCCTTAAACCTCATCTAAATAGTAATTTTCGAATAATGCTCTTCAATGTTTTGGTATCACGAATCAGAAAATTTCTAAATACAAGTCCTTCAGTTCAAGAATACAGGGCGTAACATGTATATGATAAAACGTTAACCAAAATTTCATGCGTTCGAATAAGGTCTGCACGAATCAGTCATTGGAAATGTTTTTTTTTATCAGATCAGAAACGGTTCACCCTATTTTCTTGAAAATTACAGTAGTGTCGCACCCGCCTATATTTAACAATAATAAAATTATTATTATTACAACAACAGCTCCTCGCCTAAAATGTTATTTGGAGCATTTTGTTGCATTATAGCTTAATTGGTTAATTAATCTTCTCCTCTGCTTTAAGGAAACAAATTCAATCAAATTTAACACAAGTGGGGCTGATGCTTATAATGTGAACATGGGATAGTTGAATTCCTTCAAAGTATAAACATATACACTCGAAGTTAAGCATGTAATTTTAAGAGTACATTTTTACCATTGGTTATCTGGTTCAAATGTATTTTATATCGTCCGTACTCTTGTACACTGTGATATATCAGAAGAGAAATGTATTCGTGGATTACTGCGTTTTCATTAAAAAAACTAGCAAAATTAAAAACTGGATGTATTGAAATTAATTTAAGTTCTTCTTTTTCCTCTATGTAAATAAATAACTGTTTTCTTTTTAAAGTAAATGCAAAAATATTTGTGTTTCATGTGTTTTTATAAAACTGAGTAATAACTTTTCAATTTTTCAATTAATTTATGTTTTTGAATGAAATTTAGATGGTAATAATTAATAATGTACCATGTTACGTGTTGTATTGTTAGACTCGTCTAAATTCTCGTTCGATATTAATCTACTCATTAAGTTGTACCTTAATGATTCTCATTGCCATTACTATAAACTAATAGCCATTATCTCATCGCAAGTTTTGATAAAATACTGTTATTCTTATATTGTCAATAACAAAGTAGCCTTAAGTAATAAAATTTTAATTATTTGGATTGTATTTCAGAATGATTCATAACTTGATTCAGGATGTATCATAGTTTACGTAAAAAGTGTTTGTAAAATACCTTATAATTTAAAACATTAAAACAAACATTCCCTGTCAAAATTTGCAATTAACATATTTCATTAATATTTGTTTGTGGAAATGTAACCTTCACATATAAAAAAGGGGTTAACTTGGTCTTGGATAGGAAACACAAATCATAAACCCAACCAAATATTAATTAAGATCATTATTTCCTTTCACGTTTCTCTAGAGTCTAGAATATATTTTGTAATCTATATTTTACATAAATCAAAATACAATACTAAATCATAAACCTTAATTAGTAGGTACCTGTTTAGATTTCCTGCAAAATTTTCCAATACAAAAAAAGTGTTATACTTACATTAAAAATACCGTATAGGAAGTTAGCTAAAGATACCGCAAAATAATACGGTTATTGCATCAAATGCACTCTTAACGAACTCACTCAATTAGATCCAATTTGATCCGGCCTTTAGATCTTCGTTTTAAGAGCATAATAATTTCACCTTTTCAATTATTCAACAACTAGCTTTTATGCCATATGGTAACAAGCTAACGTAACTTTTGTAATTTTTTCCAGTTACAAACGAAACTATCACCACCACCAAGAGCACCACCAGTGGAACGGGTCGAAGTTTCACCAAGGAAGACCAATAATGTTCAAGAACAAAGATTGGCGGCGGCGTCGCCAACAGAGATGAGGACTGAAAGAAGTGAAAGGGCGCAGTCACCAAGTAGCCCTTTGCCACCCACTGGAAAGTACTCTTTAATGCAGTTTGCCATGCATAATTTTAGACAGACTACAGAGTGAGTGAAAATTCTGATTTTACTTTAAGTGATTTTTGTTCTATTATTATCTGATGAAAAAATTGTCTGTCTTCATTATCGAAAGTCGTGGAAATTCGTCGGTACGGAATTTCTGAAATATTTAAGGAATTTCTAAAATGTTTCTATAAAAACACTTCACCTTCACAAGAGAACTCATTAATAAATCGATTTTAGCAATGAAAAGGACGAAATATTAGAAAAACAAACATTACGGAACTTTCTCCGATGGTCGTACATCTTCTACCACATAATATTATCGAAAGTGTTGGTACTTTTACCAAATGAAATACTAATTAGTATATTCTGAGAAGAGGATATTAAGGTTTTTTAATACAGTTCCTCGTTAATAAATTGACAAAGTGAAAATATTTTCTGTCTTTTGTTTTTTTTTTGAACAACAAAATTTGCTGCACACAAATTTTCAAACCGGTTGACATTCACAACACACTCCTAAACAAAACAAAAAGCTGATTGTGGAATATATTTCTCTCAGATTCGTTTGGTTAACACAATATTTAAATTAAATTTAGGGTAAATGCGACATGTATGAAATCCATGTCATGTTAAATTTAAAGACTACCACTATACATAAAAAATTAAATGTTAGCTACCTCAAACTTGGATTTTAAAATAAATAACAGGTTTGAAATGTTTTAACGATTTTGTAGCACAATCGTACTTTTCTCGCCTCTGAAGCGCAATAATCACCATCTGCATATTCCAACAAATTTTTATAATTTATTTATTTCTTAACATTATCTCATCAGCTTTTTCCCGGTGGCAGTTACAATTTTTCGTCAAGCAGTATAACGTCTTCAATTTTTAAATAAATATTAATTTTCAATCTCAAAATCTATATTTATTTAGTCTTTTTTTCTCAGAGGATGCATAATTTTAGAAAGTTTTGGAATGTACAATCTCTGAAATAAACTGTAAATCTGTAAACCACGATATCTTTTGGAGCATGTTACACCTCACTTTAAAACGGAAGTATTTTTTGTGATGTTTTGACGAGACGTCAGTACCTTTTTGGAAGATATACTTACACAAAATTTTGATAAGCTTTGAACCATCATCACTATCATCTTCTTCTTAAAGTATACAGGGTGAGTTACTAACTTCGCGGTCCTCGATAACTCATTAATTATTAGAAACAAAAAAAAGTCTATGGCTGAAGTTATATAGTTTATTGGGGACCATGTATCAAAATTATTTCCAATAACACAAAGCGTTATTTTTAAGGCGTGTCATACAACTCATTTTTTTCTATGGAAGACCCTATATGTATTTTTTATATTCTAGGTGACTTCTTCTTAGGTTTTATAACCATACTTTGTTTCAAAATTTCCATATAAGCCAATTTTTTTGAATTTTTTTGGCAATGGAATTGTTCTTAAAAAAATCGCAGTGGAATTATTTTTAAAATCTGGATTACAATAAGCAGAGGGATAAATAAAGTTGGGTTTTAATATACAAGGTGAGTTAGCTAAAAAACACCTCGAATTGTCTACCATTTGTTTTCTAAACATATTTTACGCCAGTAATGATAATGAAACATCTATTTTTGAGATTCATGAAATTATTGTAGTTAGTATGCATTTCTGAACAGTCCAGTCCAACATTTTACCAAATTTTACGTCAAGTTGCACTAGCGAACATTAGTCTGAAGCTTAATTAATTTTTTTCAATTTCCATAATTTTTCAAATTTAAAAAAAGATGCAAAATCTGAAAAACAAAACAAAGTTAAAGGATATTTTTGCAATATACATTTTTCCTATGCTTTTTCTAAAGCAGTGAATTTGCAAATTTAACACCATTACTTTTAGTTAATAATAAAAAAATTCATTGGGATATCACCTTTTTGGTTAACTCATCCTGTACAGAGCGTTTATAAAAAATAAATTATAACAATTTTCAAATACCGCAATGTCAGTTTTTTTGAAATAGAACACCCTGTATTTTATTATCTTGTTTGTTCTTTTTATTTTTTATTAAGTACTCCTATTTTATGCATATATTGAAGGTTGATAGTAGTTATTCAGATTTTTTACTTTTTTAAAAGACACATTAACATACTGAAAATAGAGCACAAAAAATAGGGTCAGACCCAGATATAAAATACAGAGTGTTGTACTTGAAATAATTGAAATATTGATGTTTGAAAATTTTAATTTTCAATTTTTTATAAACACTCCGTATATTAAAATTGTATTTATTTGATACCATAACAAAGAGCGTACCTGATCCTTCTTTTAAAATATTGCAAACAGTTCTTAAAAATGACGTTATAGCGATTTTTTTTGTAAACCCTTGCATTCTTAAATTCAACTTTTAAAAAAATTGGAATAACGTGGCAACGTTGCATCTAAATTTCAAAAGTAAACCATGGTTTTAAAGTACTCTGAACAGTCGAAAATAATTTTAGTGTATACTAATAATGCTCAATTATGGTTATCTTCAATAATGAGATATCGAAGAGAGCGCGCTTAGTGACTCACGCTGTATATACAACTAAAGGTCCAGAATCATGGATATCAATCGAATAAAATCACTAACAAACCGCCAAGAAAATCTGAAATTATACTTAATTGGAATCACATAATAAAAAAACGCCAATAAATTCCATTTCAATGTAGTAAACCCGCAGGCCACAATTTGCCACCAAATAATTTAAACTTATGTATAATAATTGGAGCTCATTATTTTCGTAGAATGTTAATTCTACAACACTGGTGCTAAGCAAAAAATCTGGAAAGTTATTTAAACAATCACCTTCGCTTCTTAAGTGTATCAAAGTGTATTTACATTTCAAGACTTTATTAATTAATTATTTATTTTTATTTTTTAATGAGAACGAACATGTATATTACTCTTGTAGAAACTTTAGAGAAATAAGATGTATATACCATTCCCCAAATCATTGATAAAATAAATCCTAATAAAAAATAGTTCTCTTTGAAGCATTGTCTAAGCAGATCAAAAATTTTATCACATTACTAAATCCCAAAAATACCACCCTTCAGGGAATGTTTTCATTAAATTTAAATAAAAAAATAAAAAATAAATGAACACAACTTTCTAGAGTCTAAACTTTCCAGCAGATCATTTTCGGTATTTTACTAAAACGAACTTTTTAGAACTCGTATGGCTTAAATTGACCATCGAAGTTAAATAAAAAGTTAAAATATTTTCAATAGACAAAGGCACAAATGGTTGTTTGTGAAATAAACATTTTCAAAAAAAAAATTAAATTAAATAACATCCAATATCTTCAGTTTTAAAAATGAAATATTTTAATTAAATCATCAGTACATCAACAAGTCATTTTTAATTTAACGCAAATCATTTAGAATTTACAACTTTGTTAGAGCCAGTTTAAGTATACATTTAAGCACAACTTTAACTTTAGACGATCACGCGGTCAAGTTCAACCAATCAAATTCTCAAATTTAAATATTTAATTCATCTACTATAAACAGGCTTTCAGTTTAATTAATGTTCAACTGTCACATGATGTCTAGTGAGGTTAACATAAAACATGCATACTCATTGCTTGTACATGAAATAAACGTAGCTGTTTATAAGGCAAGAACGACACCAACTACCATATTTCGTTGGCCATAAAATATGAAACAAAATGCTATTGTTATTATTATTGTAATTATGAGCACACAATGCTGAAAGTATTTCTAAAATATTCTAAAAAAATCCTATTACATTTGAAAAACAGAAATTCGATTTATTCATACAATTTAAACCGAAATAATACAGTGATCATTTGGCACAGTCCAGCACGTGTGTAAACACAGTCAAATCTAATTCAACACCCTGTACATTTCAGACTCCAAGATTTTTATTATTATTTGTGCTCTCCATTTTCCTTTACAAATGTTTACGCTTTAACGATCTTTTTGAGTTTAGACACTTTATTTCCAGAGAAAACTCGTTTTCTCGCCGTAACTTGGAATCCCTTACTGTGTCAGAATTACTACGTTCAGCACTATTAAAATTATAAAGCGATACTAATTAAGACCGTCTGAACACGTTTTGATCAGCCAAGTGCAACAATTACAAACATTTTCTTTCATTGTAAAAAATTAGAAAGCATATGGAATGTCCTTCTTTCCTATCATATCGTATCTTCATATTGTCATCGTATTCCGTGATTACGTGTGGTGGCCTAGTGTCGTGATTTTATATAACCTCTGAGTGTTATTGATAATCTTCACGCATTAACTGACTTATATAATTACTCGAAAGTTTCCTAAACTGACGGTTAGTAGGTACCCATTTTCGAATAATTTAGGGTTATCTCGTTAATTATATCACGACTATCTTGATGATGTATTTGAGGATTTTTAGTACTTTCTTATAGTGAAACAAGCTTAAAGAAATAATTGTAGCTGCAAGTTATTGTAATTTGTTTGAAAAGAAAAGTTGCTATTCTTAAGCAACAATGACGAAACCTTCTCATCACATGCGGTATTTTTGTCTGATAGAATTTAGTCTGTGGTTTGCATTAAAGTGAATATGGTGCGATCGCTTTTGTTATTGTGGTTGAGTTAGCAACAACAGAATGGGAATAGTTCTGCATTGCAACCGGTACTTAGACATTATTTTACACTATTTACATGTCTTCGGAAAATAACAATGGCGTATATACAGGGTGCTACTTCTATCTTTTCTCACTATTGTGATCTCGAAACGAGTAAAATATACCAAGTTAACGAAATCGAAACAGCTAAATTAAAAAATAAGAAAATATTAAAATTATTTATTTTTCACGAAGTTGGTACAGCTGCATCAGTAGAAAACGGTGCTTTCCTTTTTCTAATTTAACTCGCAGCGTACTTGTTACATTTTCCAAGATCACAGTGTAGTTAGAAGATATAGAAATAGCGCTCATATTTTCTGTAAAAAGAATAATTTATTCATTCAGTCGGTTTTTGATTTGCCTATAAAACGTTTTTATAAAATTATGAAACAACTTTGCGGTAACGTTTATAACATTTCTTTATGTACAAAGTGTCACACTTCTTGCGTTACCGCTAACTTACTACACTGTTCATATATCTCAACAGTTGTCGGTAGGGTAATTTTTAATCGATTAGCATATTAAGGCTAAGGGGACATCGAACACCTACTAAATAGGATGACACGAACTGACTGTTTGCTTTGTGTAAAAACTTATAAGTTTTATCGAATGGGCTTTATATTTCATTTCGTTGAATTCAAATAAATAATTTAAAATTTTTTAAACCATTTTAGAGAAAATCCTTCTGAAGCCTGTGAGATAAAAGTATTAACACAGAAAATAAATTCTGCGGCTTTGCCATGGCATTTTTTAATCTATATAAAACGATGAATGTCGTATCGTGATGTTAATATGTTTTAGATTAAGATTAACTGTCATGTTGATATATGATGTGGCCTGTACATTAACCATTTCAATTAATTTTAGTCTCAGAACAAGTTTGGTTTATTAAAGTTGTAAAATCTTCCTTTGAGTACTGTACATTTGAAAACATTTGACAGTTCTAGTAATAGTTTACATGTAGAGTACTAACAACATATACGTATTTTGTTCATCCTTTAATGTGTTTTATTGCAGCTTGGAACTTCTAAAAATGGATTCGTCGATAAAATCCAAAGAAAAACGTAAAGAATGGACGTGGAAGCAACAAACCGACTTGATCAAATGGCAAGGGACTTCAATCGACGGTCCTCTGCTACGTCTAGAAGACCCCGATTTGAGTCCACTTGCTGTGGAGTGTTTTGAGTGCATCTTGAGGTACTGCGGAGACCTGCCCTTAACGCCGGAAATGCCCGAAGTCAAATGTGTATATACAGTGCTAATGGTGAGTGCTCTTTACGTGAATCAAGGACTGGTCACGCTTTTTAGTAAAACACTCCATTTTTGCAATTAAATAATTTATAGAAGAAAATGGAGCAAGTCTGATGCAATTTAAATGAGACCTTCGTCCGTAATTTAGCTTATTTATAGGGGAAAGTGGCCTAATTTTACGGGTGTCTTATAATTATGAATAAAAACAAAGTATTAATTTTCGGTCAGCAGAAATTAATGAGTGTTAAGCGAACTCGAATCTCATATTTGCGTATAATGCGTAGTCCATGAATGGGTTAGTGTGCTAAATGAGTTCAAGCTTGAGGTGGGTTACTTTTACTTTTTTAAATATGAATCAATGTTTTGGTTTTAGTTATAAAGGCAGAACTGCTTTAGTCAAATGATTCCCACACTTATCTAATTATGTGGGAACGTATATTCAGGTACCTGCACACTGTTACATATTATATTTATTTAACAATAAACAATAGTCTAGCGATTAAATTACAGTTTTGTTGAGCCAAATTAAAAGATTTATAGTTTTGTATTTGATTTCAACACTGTTTTTTATATCAAATTGAGGTTTTTGACACTTTGTAGTTTTTGGTAAACGCAACAAAAAAATTTTCAACGCACTTCTTATCAGAGATTTTTTGTGAAACTTTTAATCGAAGCAGAATAGAGCAAATAAGTGTCTATTAAATTACCAAAACCGAAGATCTGCTTACAATTAGTGGGAAAGATCAGACAAATTTTTTTCAGCGTTTTACCATATACACGATATTCATAATATACAAACAAAATTTGGCACCAATCGGTACGGTAGTTTCGGAGATTATCGTACTAACAAAAATCGACACAGATGACAGACAGTCAGATAGACAGACAGCAAAATAGCAGACAGAAGAAGACAGGAGACTACTGTTTTCGTATTATAGAGGTCATGAAACTTCGAAAAACTATGAAAGTAGCAAGTTGCCCGATGGACTTGATTACAATACATTCTGTAATCGAATTAATTAATTTTATATGTGAAAGAAAACCTGTTTTTCTTTAATAAAGATATATTAATACCACACTTACCCGTGGAAATATACGTGACAACGCTATACACGAAAGTTAGGTTAAATTTGCCTTAAAATACATATACGAAATATGACAATTTCGATAATTAATCTTCCTACAATCCTTGTAGCACTCTTCCTTCAGCACAAACTTTTCGCCTTTTCAAAAACAAACAATGCTGATCGTATACATTTCTTTTCGCGCATTTTTTCAGTCAAATAATCATGTAAACATCACAAACAAGACGAAATAAGTAATCAAAATCTTAGGGCTAGTTTATAAACGGAGATTATTAAATTCATCACGCATTTATCGAAGCGTTTAACCATGTCTGATTGGCTACAGTCGGTCACGTGGTACATTAACGCCGTGCTAAAAATTTAATTGCAATCAAATATTTATTTGAAGTTCTGTAAATCGAGTCTTAGAGTGGTTATCCTACTGTACCATATCATTTTTTGAATTCCAAGCCTAACCCCGGCGCATCCGCCATATGTCACAACTAAAAAGGCCGTGAAGGATTATTAAAACACTAATCTATAAAGAAAATCAATTTCAAATTTTGATAAATAAATCTCTTGTGGTACTTTGACAGTACCTAGTTGCTTAGTGCGCATAGTGACGGAGATAATAAAATTAAAAAAATTAGAAACGAAGACTTTTACCGACTCAAAATCAATAATATCAACTCCAAACAATCTGTCTGTAGTTAATTGCATTATTTCCTGAATTTCGATCAACCAAGTAACTTTATAAAAGCTCATAACTAAAAAATCATAAAAATTAGCAAGTCAATATGTTGGTAACTGCGAATTATTATTTGACGGAAACGGAAAAAGAAAAAACTGTTAAATCATGCAGATGAGAAAATAAAAGTTGTTTTGTGGGAAAATACTAGCAAGGTTAAAACTTTTCCAATCGTGTTAAAGGTGTGGCATTTATTTGTTGGACGGGTATACGACTGTGAGAGAGTTGTAAAATTTTGAATCAAGATTATTTAGTGTAACAGAAAATGTTGAATGAATGATGACAACGTAGGTATGTAGTAGTATGGACCACCGTTTTACCTTATCGAGTTGTTTCAATCTAAAAATTAGAATAACTTGAATTGTAACTGGTATAGATTTTTTCAAAATTATCTGAATCGTTCTCTTATATTCTGTGTCTATTCGAAATTTTAAAACCACCAAAGTAAAATATGGGAATTATTTTACTTATTTAAAATAAATTAATTTAATTTTTGATTTGTAATCGGCGTGGGTTAAACTCAAGAACATATTTCTTAATAACTCGAATTTACACGACTAACTATTACAGCGATTATGTACAAAATAATTCCGTCGCAACGCAACTTCAGAGGATTTTCTCAACACTCGTTGGATTCTGCTAGACTGAATAATCTCGTTCCCGAAGGTGGCCTCCATTTAAACCCATATTCCCTTCTCGATGTTTCGCAATCGAGGTCTTTCTCGAATCCATCGCGACTTCCGCTTCAAGGCTTTCTTTAGCGAACGCCGCTTCGACCGACTGATGAGTAATACTACACACTAGAAGAAACACATACATACTAGAAGACCCATAGGCGTCGTACCGGGGCAGCATATGGGTTTGGTATTACAGAATTATATTTTTGAAGCGGTACAACTTATCTGGATTTAGTAGCCAAAGTTCAGACTAGGACAAAATGGGGTAGTAGTTTTTTCTGATTTACTTATCTGATATTTTTTTCCGTTGACGAGTTCAAAACAGTGAAACAAAATTGAATAACTATCCTATAGATTTATTTGTCGGCTTTTTAACTTAAATTTTGAATAATGGTCTCTCAAGTAATGTTAAACTCTCCAGTACCACCTTCTGTCGAGATTTTTAGATACAACTCATAGGTAAACTATTAAATAAAGTTAAGTTTGTTTAATGGGCATTAAACATTCTTAGCTACATTAATTTTGACAATTTTGATGTAGTCTATACCACATTGTCACAATTGACAAAAAAAAACAAGCTACAATACTTGAAGGAGTTTTCCACTTTATGAAAATAAAACTATATGCTCGTTTGGAAAACCGACAACAAACATTTTGTAAGATGACGAGAGGGACTTATAAAATTTTGTACGTTACCTACTAAATCTGTTTTTATGACCTAAGAATTTAAGGCGGTTGTGATCGTAATAAGGACCTATTTAATAAAATTATTAATAAATATTTTTTTTCTGCTACCGATAGCGTAAATGAATCTTATTGCTCCAGTGACACTGATGTAAGCGTAAGTGAAGTAAATAGGGCAACCTCGTTGCTAGCTCCGTAAGTAGGTTACTAAGGGCGTAAGTGTTACTTACGCTGCCAGGACAAAAAAGTAATGAAAGTAGTAGAATGTCAGAGAAATGTCAATAATTTCATTTTACAGCAATAGTTTCTTTTATAATTATTTATTAATATTAACTGTAACACTACACTCAGTAATATTTATTAAAGGATTATTATTTGAAGTTATTTCAAAATTAGTAACTGTCACATTTTCATCAACTGCATGAGCTTCCAACATTTTCTTATATAATTGAGGTAACAAACAGAAGAACTGACACGACGTTAATTTCAGCATTGAATATTCACACCATAAACTGCTAGGAGACTTGCGGGCTTCGGATCTTTCCTTAAAATAACCAAACATTACGGTTTCATTAACATCTTGAATGTTTCGTGATGTATACCAAATTGAAAATGCGTTGTAAGTTTCATTATAACGGAATTTCGATTTTTCAGGTAACAGACATGCGCAAGCAATATTGGCAGCTTCTTCTATTGCCTGTAAATGACTTGAATCACTCATTTTTCACTTTGAACAACTACTTTTTATTAGAAAACTTCACTTGTAAACAAATTTTTTTATCTTGTTGCTACGGAAATGAATACGTTCAATGAGTTCCTGATAATTTCTTAAATATTTTTTAGTTACTAGAATTATTACTTTTTAGTGTTACTGGTGTCGGTAGCAGAAAAAACGTAATACAATACACGCTGCGTAACTCCTTTCTTAAGTCTCGGAGGTTTGCCGGGCCTCGGCGTTGCCTCGGCCCGTCAAATCCACCTCGACAAAAAAGTTTCCTTACGCAGCTTGTAATGTAAATAACTATTATCGTCCATAGACTGATTATCATTCCTCAGATAGTTATTGGAAGTACACATACCTAACTACTAACAGTTCTATGTAAAAAAATGTCACATATGTAAGAACACAGAAATTTTGACAAAAAGTGTATAGGAGTTTGTATTTAATATGTTGTACTGCATAGTTGTTATAAAGTTCATGTTTACTTAAGAGCCAAAAACAAATTCAAAAATATCGTGCCTTTGGACAGCAATTTAATTACACTTCACAGAAGAGGTGATTTAGTTGGGTGTTTAAGAAGTAGTAGCAATATTACTATATAATGAGTGTATTGCAAGAGGAATATAAGTATGTATAACAAAACGATAAAAACACAAACTTGGCAGAGCAGTTAAAATGTTCTGTTGGCTCTAGATTTTGTTTTTATTAAGAAACGCACAATCAACCAAAAAACAACATCAAGTACCCAGTGGCTATTGTTCGTATTTTTTTTTGTCAGGATGGCAACATCTGGCAATTTTATGGCGGGATACCTCATGTCAAATTCAAATTTTGAACCCCAATTCAATAGCTACCATCTTCTCACTGGTTTTTAGGTGCGCTCATGTCAAAATTGACAACTGTGGACTGACATGCTAACATTGCTCCCATTCAGAATTGTCAACCCAAAAATTTCCTTCAATCATTAATAGTCACCCGGTACTTTAGACTTATAGAACACATTGAATTTTCTTGATTTACCATCTTGCTTCCGCTATCTATTTAGTAATTTCTAATCTCAAAATAATGACATATGAAAAAAATCAAGTTGTAAGTTTGAAATGTGTGTCGTGACAGTATTTATTGCATATAGCAACATCAAATTTATTGTAATAACCTTAATAACCTTGCTTTAAACTACTATCAACTGGACAATTAATTATTACTGCGTAATGTATATGCACTGACTTCTTCATGTACACAACACTAAATTAAAAATAACCCTCAAGATAATAAATAGGCTTACAGACTTATGTAGGGACATGCTTATCCTATTACGACTATAGTAGTCCACAAACCCTAACATTATATTATATGGCGGGTTACTATTCTGAAAACGTAAAATTCCCCTAGAAACACGGTCGAAATGAGGGTAATAAAGACCATTCCGCATAGGTGCACCTTTGACCGTTGGATTTAGTATTGCACAGGTTCAGACTTTGTAAACAGTAGTTTTCTAACACGCGTTTTGTACAAAATTGTCATAATATTCCATGCCTGGGAAAGCACAAGTACAAACTCTTAGCAAACAGAAATTGCAGTTGATCCCACGATGGAATTAAACAGTGATGAGGGCGAACAAAATGAAGACGCCATTAATGAATTTCGAGAAAAAAATAAAACATAATTTGCTTGGATGAAACCTGATTCAACCGTTATGACGTGAGGAGGAAAGGTTTATCTGATGGTGCAAAGCACTGATGTTTAAGTACGCCTTCTAGAGATGAAGGAATCATACTGAGTTCGCCAAATTCGGTGATAGTTATGGACAATGCTAAATACTATTCCAGGCAAGTGAATAAAAATGAATAACGGCAACAACGCAAAGATGACATAATGAACATGAACGATAACAATATCGATATTCCAAAACAAAATGGTACACTGAATATTATTATTAAAGGATAAAATATTCACCTGAAATATGATACAGATGAATTTTCCAATGATTAAGAATCGGTAAAAGAATTGCAGGTAATTTACAGTGGGAAAGATCTTCTTTTTCTCCACGATTCTAGTAATAAGCAGCACATTATTGGACTTAAAGTGCAGTGTAATGTTAGAGTTTGTAGATTACTGTACATGAAAATTCACTAGACAGCACCTGTAGGGACTAATTTGATAACTTCCAACTAGATAAGACGTGTCCAACTAGCATTGGAAAGACATTTTAATCGATGAAAAACTCACTTCTTCTATCAAACTATAGATACTTGAACTGTAATAGGTAATTAAAAGTAACAAACAAATTAGTAAATGAGGAGATAAGCACTTAACGCCGATTAAAACGAGGTCTCTTTAAAAATTCTACATATATATAGCATCAACGGTATATTTTGCGCAAAACTTAGATCTCTAACTAGTTAATTAAAACGCCGCACTTCAGTAATATAATTAACTCAACTCATTTTGTTTTGTTTCCAGCACTGCCACAAGCACGCTCTTTTACGAGACGAAGTTTATTGCCAGCTCATGAAACAAACAACCAGCAACAAATCTGAATCTCCTGAATCTTGTCAAAGAGCTTGGAGGCTTCTTTCCATAGTCGCCGCATATTTCGCCTGTTCTGAGAACCTTCATCCTTTCCTCACCGAACACCTGTCCAGCGCAGCATCTGATAGGCGAAGAGTATGTCACGGTACCGCCGCCGTTTGTCTCGCCAATCTAAGAAAGACACAACGATGTGGAGGCCGTAAGAATGTCCCCTCAGTAGAAGAAGTGACAGCTGTCAGTGCTGGCCGTAGTGCACGACGACAAATATACAGATTACCAGGTGGCGCCGAACGAGTAGTCAACACAAGATGCAGTACTGTAGTTGCTGACGTTATCGCCGAATTATGTAGTTTAATCGGAGTGGGACCGGAAGCGGAGCAACAAGAATTTAGTCTTTATTGCATAGTGCAAGGAGATGCCTTCACAATGCCTTTAGCAGCTGATGAGTATATTCTTGACGTTACCACTGAACTTCACAAAGCAGCACAACCATTCTACTTGATATTTTGCCGCTCGGTTTGGTACCACCCTCTCAAACATGATGCTAGTCCTCTTTATACGGAAGTTTTGTTCAATCAAGTTGCCCCTGATTATCTGGAAGGTCTTCTTCTGAGGCTGGGTAATCCGAACTTGCCTCCCAGTATGGTTCGTGACATGGCCTTAATAGCCGCTTTGCTTCATCGCGCTGCTGACTTAAACCACCCCCCTAGCCTAAAAGAAGTCAAATTTCTTCTACCCAAACCTGTTCTAGGCTTGAGAGAGCCAAGACCTCCGCAGTGGTTAGCTTTAGTTCAGACTTCTTGGGGACAGGCGGCTGGTTTACAGGTATCTAGAGCCAAACATAGGGTATTGCAAGTCTTAAGCAACTGGCCTCTGTTTGGAAGTAGTTTCTTCGCTGTTAAACGGGTGTCTGGTGATATGGAGAATTGGCAAGAACACATTTTGGCTTTGAATAGGAGTGGAGTACACTTTTTGGAAATGACCACTCACGAAACGATTCAACACTGGCCTTTCGCCGAGGTTATTTCGACTAGAAAAGTCCGCTCTGAGGATGGGGCTTTGTTCTTAGATATGAAATGCGGAAATCTGTTGCAACAACGAGTTACCAGGTTGCAAACTGAACAAGCACATGAAATTTCGAGATTGGTTAGGCAGTATATTAATTTAGAACAAGCCAGCGGTCCAAGAAATTAAGTTTTAAATTATAATTTAGATTTGTATAAAGTCGTTGTTAACATTGCTCATTCGCATAGTTAATTTTAAGTCATTTATAGCCTTAGTAAAGGTTGATTAACATTTTTAAGAAAAGTTGATGTTATAAATGTTATATCCGTGTTACTCCTTTTATACGTAATAGTAAGAATAATTTTTAGTAATTGTGGAACAGGTAAAGAAAGTCTGTTATGGAACGCCGTCGGCCAGTAGCTTTGGCTTGTTTTTTTTTTTTAGAGGTTGGATCACCACGTTTCGCAATTACTTAAATTTTCACTTTTATTTATTGTACATAAATATATAGATGTGCTATGTATAGAATATATTTTATATTATTTGTAACATTCTTAATTTCCGCATATGACTGTTCTAGTTGTAAAATAATATCAAACTCACTTCCAATTCAAAAAGGTGTATATGCTTTTTTGCGTGGGAATTGATTTCTTAAATAACAATATGTAATTATGAGAAAGTGAAGCTATTATAATACGAACAATCAAGGCCAAACATAATTAGGTATTTATTATAAAGATGGATTATAATGCAAGTTAGCTCATTCATTATCAATGCATTATCTGACATTGTATCGGTCCCAGACAATTATTGCATGTAAAATTATGGGTGTTTGTATCTTTACTTTATTAAAAATATTTTATTGAATTGCTTTTTTTTTACTTTTCTAAAGCTATAAATTTCTGCCCACACCATTTTACAGACCACCAAGAAGTAATACTGACAGCAAAGGAGTATGATTATGTCTTCGTAAGCCAAACCTCCTCTTTGAAGCTTTATGAATGTATAATGAATATGCATCGGTTTAACTGTGGGTACTTACCTATACTTTAGGCGACTGTGACATTTTAAACCACTCTAATGAACTAACCAATGCTGGCTGGGACGTTTTTATATTTATAACAACAAATCGTTCATAATTATGGCTGTTATGTCTCTTATATCTTTGAAAGACTTTTTCATAAAGATTTATCAACCAAACCCTCGTAAAAGGCACATTCACAGAAATATGATCAGATATGGCAGATCCAATAATGTCTGGCAAAGTGTAAGAAATATCAATATCATAGAATACTCTCACTGTAGGGTATTTAAAGTAGAATACTTGCTTAGTAAAACCGATAGCGCTGCTGATATGGTGCTCTTTGCTTAGAGGTATGAAGGGTTTGTTTGCTATAGCCTGTATACTTTCGTTGAGTGTACAGTCGAGGCCATTAATAATGACCGCCTCCCGGTCCTAGCAATGGACTGCCAAAAATACCCGAGCGGTTTGAGAAAGACAAGTTGGTTTATAACTGCAAACACAGACCTGCATTTATCAAAATTTAGCTTTCTCTAAGGCTCGGATAATTTCGGCAGTCCATAGCTAGCACCATGGTCACGGGAGGCGGTCATTATTAAAGGCCTCGACTATACTACCTGAAAGATAGAACCCGCTGATTTTTTGACTAAAGTTTCATGAGTTTCTATACAATTGCTTTATGAAAGGTTATTGGAACTCTTTTAATTTTATTAATCTCTGATGGACGTAACAAGTTATTGTTTTAAATGTTATGTTTGTAGAAGGATTATATTTTGTAAGAAATTACTAAAGTGTTAGTTCTGCAGGACTCGCAAATAAATACACGTTCTGTATCGACTTATCGAGTGCTAAACCTTGGGACAGAATACGAAATTTTATTATTAATATAAATACAGATGACAATCAACATTATTTGAATCGAGTTTTGGCGCCATATCAACGTATTATTTGATATTTTAGTTAGAAATGAATTACGACAGCATATGTAAATAAGAAATTGGCAAAAGTAATCTAAAGTAATCTGAAACTTACATATCTTCATGGCATCCTTAAAATAGTTTAAAATAAAGTTAACATAATTGTAAAAAAAAACTAATTGCAATCCAACAAAATGTAATCCGTATTTCTAATGATTCTTGTATTCGATATTTACTTATTAATTATCAACATGTCAGAGATTTAGACACTAAAGTCAGTGACTTTGTTATATTATTATCTTTATTTATAACCTTACTCAACATAATATGAGTCTTAGTGGCAATAACCCCCTGCCTCTTATAAAAATCTAAATAAAACTAAAACTTTATTGCCTAGTGATATCCGAATAGAGTTTTACCAGTGATTATGCATCTAACATCCATACTCACTGGTTGCACGAAAGACGAAAACTCTTATAATTATATATTACTCTAAATAATTACTAGTCAATTCAAACTGTGGTCTTTTATAAATAAAAAATAATTTTTTTCTGGAAATCTGATTATTCGATTTTTTAAAAATAAAGCTTTCGTATTGGCTAAAGCTATCTGAGGTAAATTCTCATTTTTATTCTCCAACATGTGAAGAAAATATAATGAAATCTATGGCCTTGGTGATATATTTATTAGAGGTAATTTTAAAACATTTTGTAAGAATTGTAAAAAAAACTTACTATTAGTAATTCCTCCGTTTAAGAGGTATCAACTGCACGCACCTTTATATTATTTACTAGCTTATTAGGTATACGTACATATTGATATATGTTACTTGAGGTAAAAAGTTGTTTACTCTTTTATAACGTCGATTTGTTGGTTTCAATATATTATTACTGTTATTATTATTAATGATATTTGTTTGTGCTTTTCATTCGCCGAGATTCAGCTTATGATGAGTGGCGATAATAAAAAAAACAACACTTGATTTTGTTTATTTATTTACAGATACGTTTTGTTACAATATACGCCAATATACGAACTTTTATACCCAAAAAAGAGGGCCGAGCTAGCTGCTCGTACAATAGGTTGAAGTCTACAATCGTTGTAGGTGCGCTACCTTTCTGGGAAGAATGTACACTTTCTAGGCGAGCTACTTGATGTTTTTGGAAGTATACACTTGTCTACTTTCTAATATTATTATCAGTAACTTAAAATGATACCAGATCAATCCTTAAGAAAAATTGGTCTAAAAGTTAGTGATAATTTTTTCGTCCATTGTCTTCACATAACCACGAATTTTGTTCCTTTATTTAAGTTGTGGACTCAGCAACTTTTCGCTCTTTTTATGTAATTTTTATTCTACCAATATTTCACCCCTATTATTATAAAATCCTAGCAGAAGTATAACTGAGCTTGTTTCACACACGGCTACAGCTGCAGGTATGTACAAACAATGATCGTTTAAAAATAACGAAGTCTATTACATAAAAAAATGAAGATTACCGAATTTCAAACGAACGACATTTTGGAAGGTTTTAAAAGAGTTGAACTTTAAGTAAATCTATTATATTTTTCTGGTTATATTTGCAATTTTATTCATTTCATTTCGAACTTTAGGAATATAAAAAGAGGTAAAAAAAGCATGTTGATTGATCGGGAAGATGTAGTTTTATGGAGAAGAAAATATTTACGACACATAAAACAATATCGCGAGGAAGGACATCTGATCTATTACTTGGACGAGACATGGGTGCACACTACAATTAAATCAGCGAGACAAGCTTTTAATGAGAGATTTTCTGCAGGGTTGAAAAATTCTTGTGAGAAAGGCCAAAGATTGATAATTAGAATTACACATATTGGGTCAGACAAAGGATTTTTAGATGACAGTTTGCTGACTTTTTTATCAAAAAAGCAAATAGATTACCATGCAGAAATGAACTCCCAAGTCTTTGAGCAATAGTTTCAAAAATTCCTGATCCAAACAGATGAAAAATGCGTTGTAGTCGTAGACCACGCATGATATCATAGTCGACAACGCGAACAAATACCCACGACAGCAAGTCGAAAAGCTGTCGCACAACATACAAGAATGGTTGACAAAACCATGTTAAAAACAGATTGTGCGACGTCATCGGCAAACACATAAAAATTTTCTAATTGATGAAATGACGAAGGTACAAAATAAAACAGTATTGCGACTGTCACCTTATCACTGCGAGTTAAATCCCATTGAACTTGTTTGGGCACAAGTCGAGGGCGAAGTGGCTAGACATAATACGACAATCAAAATTGCCGATGTAAAAAATCTGTTTACTTCGGCTATTGAACATGTCACATGAAAGAAATGGCAGCAAGCCTAACTAAGTTCTTCTTAGTTGCTATGGTAATGAAAATTTGTTTTCTCTAATTCAAACTGCGTAGGAGTAACTATTTATCACAATATCGTCATATATTGTGGAAACATACGAATGACATACGTATAATAATATAACATTTTAAAGCACACTATTAAAAGTTTCAGCCATCTCAATAAGTACCATAGTGCGCTATATACAAAGTCGCTAAAAAGTAGCACTGAAATTTGCTACCTAAGTAAAAATATTTAAACTTTATCCTCTGAATTATTATTCAAATTTCCATCAACATTTGTTTCGGAGATACAAGACCGAATTGATTCTTTTTTTAAATAGCACGAGGGGTTAAATTTAATGTTTTTTTAAAAATCTTATTTTGCTGTCCTACAGTAACGTAACACATGTCTTTCTTTATTTGAAAAAAAAAAGGCAAAAAAATATTAAAATAAGACAATTTGGTGGTTGCGTACGAAAATTTTGTTTTTGTGCTAGAAAACGAAGACTATGAAAATGGTTTATTCTGTTCTGACATTTTCATTGTTATGTCTTATTATCGCAATGGGACTTCGTAAACAAAGAGTAAGTCTATTCTGTAACCGCTTGTAAGCAAGAATATCTGGCCAAATTATTTATTAATTCAAGAAACATCGTTAGAGGCTCACATTAGAGATGTAATCAACAGATTTATTCGAACTGCCAGTGTCAACAAAGAGAAATGTTGTAGAAGACCTTCAGTATCTGATGAAGTTATTGATGATTTGACACGATTTGAGCAGAATCTGCAAACATGTTTGACAAAATTTTGTCAGCAGTCAGAGTTCCTGTTGCAACATGAAATTCAACAATGGTTCCAAAACATTGACAAAAAGATTTTACAGAACATTTTTGAAATTAAAAAAGGAGTGATCATGTGATTGGAACAAAATGGTGAACATTTTCAAAACTTTCAGCATTCTTTAACTACAATAAATTTGTTTCTTTTTAATGAAATGAATTAGTTTTATTTTTTAAAAAGATATGAAGATTTGGCAACCAGTTATACAGATGCGTGTGGTCTTTGTCATTGGTCCTTGGGCATTTAGTACAGTTCAAATTTGAGAGGCGAGTCATTTGCATGAGCTACTGCAACCCTATAATCATTTATAGAAATCCTGTATTAAAAATACACTAAATAATGCACCAATACCAGAATTTTAAATCCTCTATCAAATGCCATTTTATTAACAACATACTTTTTATTGAAGTTACGAGTGTATAACGATGAACTTGTTGTCATTAATAATTCTTTGTTTTAAGTTTTGAAAATTCTGTGCATTGAAATTGATTAATTGTCGTTACAGTTGCAATGTATGAGAAGAAACATTTTCTATTATTGAATTTAGAATTTAATATGTAACGTACCATTATCCATTACGTTTCTATTACTTTTAGCAATCTGGTGTTATTTTTTTCAAATGACATTCGAGAGATACCACCTTCGTAATACCAAAGGAAAATTAAGTTTCTAAAACACATAGCGATCCTACGCAACCGTAAAAAATTGAACTACCTCTTTCAACAACGTAGATTTTTTGTGTTCAAGACAATGATTGATGAAGACCAATTTCTGTGTCCTCTCCACAAAATATCAATGCAATTCGCTACATGATTTTATCTGAACGTATACATCACATAATGCACTTCGAGTTATATTTTAAAAAAATTCTACAGAATCGATTCCAAAATGTTTGAATGCCGACCAAAACCGAACAAGAATGAAAGCGTCCCACTCCTTGTGTTGTGCTCCAATTTTGACGATAATCCTTGTTTTTAAATCGTGTTATTACTATGGATAAAATCTGGCTGTGACCCAGACACGAACAATCGATGGAACAGTACTAGTTTGGTGCTCCACCAATGTCAATGAAATTTCGGATACAGAGATCTGCTGGAAAAGTTCTCGCTTCAGTTTTTTTTTGCAGTAATTATAGTTGATTACTTGGAGAAAGGCAATCCGTAACTGGTGAATAAAAGAAAGTGACCAAATATGGAATACCATTTGGTTTTCTTGCCAAAAGAAAGGATCACTCCACATATTAAACACAATTATTAATAAAAAAAAAAACGAAATAAATTGTCCACAAGTGTTGTTTTTGCACACATATAGCGTAATGCAATGAATACGATTCACCTCTTATTGGCTGCTCTCCCTTCGACTTATAAATATTTCCCAATCAAAAAAATTTCGGACGAAGAACTAATAGAAGCTGTGGAGAACTGATTTGCAGAACAAGAAGAAACATCTTGTAAGAGGTTTACCAAAGTTGCAGAATATCTGTAACAAGTGTATAAGTTTGAAAAAGAGATACTTCGAATAAAAAAATATTTCCATTTTCAAATTGATTTTTGTTGTGTGCTAGGCTAAGAATTTATTAAAATACTCTCGTAAGTTTTAAATTTTAGTAGAAAACAACTCGTTGTTTCATTTAATTATCATTTACAGTGGCAGGCAAAATAAAGTAGAACACTTTTCATTCCCTAGTGTAACTTTCAAATTTGTATTTACGTTAATGGATACCTATTCATTTGAGTCCAGTTTACCGAACTAAGTAAATTTGTTGAAAAAATCCTTTCAAGAGGTGTCTTGTTTTATTTTGGACGCCACAGCAACTAAATATTGTTTAAATTTTCCAGCTTTAGAACTAACTGCAGACTTTTAGTATGTAGGTAGATGGTAGTAAATTGATTTTGCCTAACTATCCAATATATTTTAAAAAGAGTTTCTACAAAATTTCAGATTATAATTTTGAAAACTTGAATTGATACAATTTTTCTCTATTTAACATTGTTGAGAAAAAATAAATTATAACGATTATTTACTGTTGAGACAATATTTTTTCAAGTTCGATTTTATATTTGTTTCAAAAAGAAACAATAGTATTGACAAAGCTTGTGAAACAACAAAATTACTATAAAAATTTATCGTGTCGTGTTGTGTGTGAACTTTCTCATCTCGATGAGATGAGAAAATTCGTAAGAGATCTATATAAGTACGTATTCCGCTGTTTTATTTTATTTCATAAGACAGTTCTAAAATAAATGTATTGCCGACTGAAGTACCTAACACCAACATTCTCGAGGTTTCTCTATTATAATAAATATCAAAAAAACGAAATGTATAAACCCATGCCATACATATATATATATACAACATCCGGATGGGTTATTTTGCTGTTAGAAGTGGTCATGTCAGATACACTTGAAACGAATCGTTTTGTCATTGTTGAGCGTACCAGCCTTGAAACGGAATAATAAGATGTGCACGTGCCTACGTTAATACTGTCGTCATAGTCCAATTACATAAAATAACAGAGCGCCATACAGCAAAAAAAACTGGACAATAGGAAATTTACAAATAAAAATTAAACTAATATATTAATAAAAATTACAAACCATTGTCATACAGCATTAAACAATAACACGACCGGAATAATAAAATATAAGAACAAAAACAAGGAGCACTAGCATAACTGACTAAACTTGAGTAGGACTCTGCCTTGGAGTTTTTTGCACTGCTTCACCCCAGTGTTGAGCTGTGTATTGTACATATCCTGGGTCTCCAGGACTACTCGGTGGTCTGTGTTCTTCTGAAGGTTTTTCATTAGGATATAGATAAGAAGGAGAAAGAATGTCATATTTGCCATATTGTCCTGAAAGCAAACAATTAAACCTGCCGTCATGAACAACATAAAAATAAAATTGTGTTACAGTTTTATTGACAATAAATTTTATTTACACAAAGACACAAAACTAACACTAAATTTTAATATTAGTACGTTTAATAGTTTTGTGTTAGTGTAACAACATATCAAACTGAGTAATAAAAAATAAATACAAAATAAAGCAAAATGAGAGTTACTAAATGCGGTTAGTGATTAATAATATTAGTAAAAAATAGGAAAAACGACAACAATCTGATTTTGCCTTATTTATCCACCACCTCTCTACGTCTACGAGAGGAATTCATAAATTTCTACCCTTCCTAATTTTACTCCAAACGGGGGAGTGCTCTTCCATTTTAGGAGGGATATCATCAGGCTCATCAGTATCGCTGTCTTCACGTTTATCTTTCCCAAAAATATCGAAAGATTTAGGTTTTTCCTCTTTTATCTTCTTATACATACTATCTCTATATCTTCCGTTCGCATCCGGTAATTTAATGCCATTCGCACTCATCAAATGACCGTTCTTTGGCGTTTTCTCGACTTGTTTTTCTTGTGTTTGTGTCTGCATTTTCTCGTGTTCTCCGTCTTTTTCAATGTTGTAAATTTGTTGCGTCTCCACGGGTTTGCTTATGCTTCGTGGTGGTGTTTGGACTTGTTGTGCCGTCTTCCTAGCTTTTGGTCCACCCATATCCAAGAGGAATAAGGCAGCTGTCACTAAAGACAAAGTGCCAATGACGGCGGCATTATCAACCAAGTCCTGCGGAACTGAGTCCAATGCCGCGAACTCTAGACTACCTAATGACAAGGTTAATTATCGGTAATTTCTGTTCACGTTTTAATGACTTATCGATATATGGAAACGTACCTAAAACGATAAACAATATTGTTCCTACACCCAGCAATACAAATTCAGTTATTCTTCTTTGGGTGGGCAGTTCTCCTGTGAGCCTCCCAATAAAGAGAGCTGCGGTTATTATAAAGTAACCGCCGTAGGTCACGTTGGCGACTGCGGCTCCGACGCTTCCCCATGTTACGTTGTTTAAAAGGCTCCATTCTCGGGATAATTTTTGGAGATAAAGGAAGAGACGGGATGCTTCATCGTCTGTGATGCTTTTAAATATGAGGCAAGCGACCGTGGACGCCTACAACCATACGAAAAATAAAGAATTAATTAAATTATTATTCGATTGTAAAAATAATTCAGGAGCAATAATACTCGTAGTATATTATAAAAAATGTTTTATAAGGTCCACTAGTTTAAGTTTTTACAAAAAAACAAGTGTGACAATGATCTTTTAAAAAGTTTTTGTATACTAATATATATAAATCAAAATAAATTTAGTAATTTCGACTACCTTAGTTGGCAGCTCTACAAGTTACTGCCCAAAGTTGGCAGCTCCAATAAATGTAGTGTTCAAAGCACCTTGTTCTGAAATTTTAAAAGTACATCCTTAGCACCAGATTATACCTGCTACTGGTACAATGTCATTTAGGATTTGTTTACAAAATTAAATTAAAATAAAAATAAATTAAGTTTTTAACTTCACATGGTAATAAAATGTTTGCGCCAAACTGATTGTGTTAGGATTAAATGTTTTCTAGAAAAAGACTGTCTCGACAATGCAAAAAATAGGAGAAAATAAGAACAATAGGTTGTGAATTTGAAGCAATACTGAATGAAAATGAAAAACTTTAAAACGACGTACTCAAAAGTTGTAGTATTTGAAAACTAAAAGAAATATATAAGTGATATAAGGAAAAATGGACACATCTGTACACTATTTCAAAACATTTCTGGATGAATGTATAAAGAGTATAACATAAAAAGAATACCACTGGAATACGGAAGAAAAGACAACAATAAAAGTCATGAAAGTGACGAAGCTAACGTAGTATGGGAGTTTGTAAGAGTTGTGAACCAACTAAAGTGAAAATAAAAATGACCCATCAGCACAAATTCTAAAATTAGAGAAACTTTACGATCGCAATTTAATAAATTAAAATTGAATATGGGAAAAAGAAAGAATGTCAGAGGAGTGGAACAATGCTTTAGCGTATCCCACACACAAAAAAAAAGGAGACAAAGCAAATTGCAGCGTCTCGTGGAAGTAGTATATCAATATCAAGCACAGGCATTAATTCTTAGAAGACTACCAAGGCGTGTTTAAACAAGGAAGATCAGATTTTTATCTTGAAGCAACTTTAGCATAATGAATACAAAGAAAAGGTAAATATGCATCTTCTGGTCGTAGATTTTAAGCAGATTCACGGTCTTAAGAAACCGTTTTATGAAATACCTTTTAAAAAAAATGTAACAAACGTAGTTACCCCAGTAGCAAGCAATATTTTTCTAATATTTATACAAGATTGATATAATATTAAATGTTGACTAGATATTACAAATATTTATATAATATTCATTTTATATTTATAAATTTATATATGAATTTCAACATATATTACATATTTATGAAATGTCTTTTTATCAAGATACCGAACAACAAAAATGAAAAAAAAAAGTACCATGTTGGGACAACTTGTAGGTAATTTATGTCATAGGGTTTTTATTGGAGCAACATTAAAAATTGATTTGAAAAAATACCAGCTATTGTGAAATTGACACTATTCGAAATATCGTGTTGCACACTATTAATTGCTCATTAAAAATTAATATTTTTTTATTTTTGCGAACAAAAAATAATAATTTTATTCATCATTTTTATAAAACTTACTTAAATTTGCGCTTGCTCTGCTGGAACGCGTTTGCGCAATGTGCAACATATACATATTTTCTGTTATTGTTGGTGGTTCAAAAAGTATTTTGTGTAAGTTCATGGTGTTTGTCCTATTGTGAATTGTGATTATCGGTACTGCGATAAATTCAGAATAAATACCGTTTTGTCAAGAAAACAGTACTAACCCTACATAACCTCACTTCTGCAAGCAATGCAGAAAATGCAGTTTCTCAACACGTAAGTATATTTAAGAGGATTAATATTTCTGAATATAAGCACATTATGAATGTAGAGACAAAATGATGAATGTCCGGGCGCAACCAAAAAAAAAGAAGAAATCCAGTTAGAAATTGCGGGAGATACGCAGAAATTGAATGAATTGGTAAGCCTTTATTATTCTTATTATTAACTCCTAGTATTTATAAACTAGTTAGTTTCAGTTGATAATAATGTTTATTTGCCAGGAAGAGAAGATGTAAAAAACATGTACCTATGCAATTTTGAAGAAATTATTAATAATGAACCAAATTGCTTTCAAGTTTTCAGGGCAAGGAAAAAATAAGCTCTCTTTTAGTGAACTCACAATTAACAAGGCTACAACATGTAAAGTTATGTGATTTCTTAAAAATTACGAAATTTGTAAGTTAATTTAATTGTAGGTACCACACGGAAACGTCACAAAAACGCCACAACTGCTGAAATTTAAAAAATGGTAGGACCTCATTAAGCGCAGACAAAAGCAAGAATGAATTCTCATCGAAAAAAACATGAGGTATGATTTTTTTTATTTTAATTAATTATATCGCTTTTCAATGAATTGGTTATAGAGCAAATAATTATTAAATAGATATTTCTGTATAACGATTGAAATGTAGCAGAACATTGTTATTTCCATTGACAATGTATTTTTATTTCATTGTAAGTTGGCAGTGTATTTTTATGTTTAAAAAATTTATATTGTGTTTCACATCAGGTGATTTTTTAAATTTATGCTCTGGTTGCCCATGAAGCTTATGCCAGCAGTTTCAGTTTCACTGCTGACATAAGTGTCATGGGTAACTACAGCAAAAATTAAAAAACAATCACCCGGTACAAATTTTCAACGAATTGGTTCTAGGACAAATAATTTTTAAATGTATAAATATTGCCGCAACGTTTCAAATACACTGTTATTTCCAGTGACAATGTATTTTTGTGTTTAATAAATTTTATATTGTATTCCATACAAGTTTTTTTTATATCCATACCCCCTTTCATATGAAGAACATTTATTAAATGTTCTGAACTAAATAAGTATTAAACATTGAAAATAAATATATATTCAATATTTAAAACCAATATTGATTTTTTAAAAAAAAATCTGTCGTTACCCATATTATTTAAATGTTAGAACTTCAATATTGATTACATATAAAATGTTACTGGGGTAAGTTTAGTTTATACAGCGTGTTGATTCAAGTGAATGCAGTCGTAAGAGCGCGTAACCAACGCTTGAATATCGAACCTAGCGTTCGCATTGGTTAAACAACACGTGTTTTGAGAATATACTTATTCACAAGGGTGTAGCATAGGCTGCGACTTTCACGTAGTTACTGTATCTATTCGGCGGTTTTAGTATAGACAGATGTCAAAAATGAAGTATATGTATTGTGAAAAAAATACTTATGCCCTTACCCACAAAGACTAAGATTGCGTTTCAAAAAACAGATGAATTTTGAATTATCGTGAAATAAATTTATGTTGATTGTTGTTAGTATGGTAGTTGTTTTATAAGATTTTACCTTTCTGATCACTTTAATATACTTGCACTCTATACCATTGTTAATTCTATGGCCACGATTTGGGACAGAAATGTAAACTAAAATACTTATATTAGTGACTAATTAACGTCTTGCTTAAATTGTGCTGCTGAATATTTTTTTTTGTTAACAGTGCTAAATATATCAAGTCAATTTCAGGAATTTTTTAGAAAACAAAGTTTACGAAAACTGTACTAAACTAAAATGTATGTCATTAAGTTAAAACGTGCAATGTTTGTTAAATAAAAATATACATAAAATGATAGCACTATACAAAATGTCTCAGCTAAAACTTTGCGGCCTAATATCTGAAAAGGAATAGAGATACCGTAATTTTGTAAACACCATTGTTTTTAGGTGAAGAAAAAATGAAGAGGGTTAACGCAGAGGCAGTTAAAGTCGTTGGACTGTAGGACTATTTCAAAAGCAGAGTAGTCAGTTTTAAGATTCGAAAAGATATTAATTAAGTGTATTTACAACAACGGTTAAAGAACTTAATCCAGAAATTGTGATATCTACTTCAAAATTTTGAAGAGTGATCTGTGACCTAACTGCTGTTCTTTACTACAAATAACAAAAAGTTGTGATAATCAAAAAATTACTAGTTTTTCCATCGAATTTTTTTGAAAAACGTTGAAAAACCAAAAGCAATGTGTAAACATCGTTGTCCTAACATAAACTTCCCTCAAATTAAACTAAATAATCACTTAACCTAAATTCCTAATTCGCGTTATCTATGATTTTCGAGTGCCCATTTAACTTTAAAAATTTGATATCACAGTTCTCAACACAAAGAAGTAAAATGTTCATCAGAAAATGATGGCTCATTTATACTGACAAAACTTTGCTGTGAAAACTGCAATACAACGTTAGCTTGCTCATAAAACACGGTTGACTGATGAATTATAAATTTTGTGGTCAACAATTAAAAAAATACCGCACTTTTCTTTTTCTGATACTCATAATACAAACACGGGAGAGAGTGGTTATCTAGCATGTCTGTCACCAAGGCGTGCAGAGATACATTCTAAAACGTTAATATCTTGTTTGAAATACAAACTTGATCAAACAAAAAAAAAAACTATTGTTCGAGAAATGATAAGGTTCCTTATGTTAGTGTTAGCGGTTAGCGTTAGTTGCTGTTCGGGTGCTACTTCATCTACTATACATGTTTCCATTACATTTAAATTTCTGTTTGTGACGGAGTTGCTCTGACATGACAGTTCACTCTACAGATACTTTTCTTTCCCGTACCGCCATACATTTGATTTCTTGGTATTTCCGAGATTTATAAAATTCAAAATAAAATGTCAAATTGTGTGGAATAATAGTTATTTATTCTATTTTAGAACCATAATCTTAATTATAAGCACCCAAATGCGGGCTTAAATTGGCCTTTTTAGCACAAATCTGTCAAAAATTGCTAAGCAACAATTGATTGTTCATTTACACTAATCAATTAATTATTCAAACACGCTTCGATATTCAACGTTTTTCTTAAGTTGGAAAAATAATACTTTATCAAATCATTACTTGACCGACTTCAAATTCTTCTAAACTTTCGTTTGAATAAAGGTTTTCCGCTTCTTTAATTTACATTTTGAAAAA